ACACTGCAGTTATTAATGATTTGGACAATGCCAATATAAAGTTAGTATTAGAAAAACTTGATATTAGTGGCAATGATCTAAATGATATTGATGGAACATTACTGGGAAAATTATTTAAAATAGCTCCTAAATTAAAATATCTAAATTTAAGAAAGTGTAGGCTATCAGGTGGTACTTTGAGGGCAATGATCACAGAATGCCAGAAAAGTGAAGATACAGTAGACCATGTTTTGAAACACTACATGCTTGTACTGGAGGACAAAGACCTTTCAGATATTGATGGTACATCAGTTGCTGATTTAGTCAGGGTAGATTATTATGAATTTGATGATGATGATTATGATGATACAATTTTCATTCTGAGTGATTATTCTCTTACTTTTGATAACATAGAAAAGCTTGTTGAATCAGTAGGTGAAAATATAACATTGGTTTGGGAAAGTATAGATCTGAGTAGGATTAACCTGTCTTCAGTAAGTGGAATAACATTAGCTCGCCTATTTAAAATCTGCCCAGACCTGATGCATATTAACATGAGTTATTGCAGTTTATCAAGCAGGATTGTTAATGAAATGATGGAAGAATGTTGTAGGATGAATGTAGTATTGAAAGACAACATGCTTAGTCTAAAGGGCAATGACCTTTCAGATATTGATGGTAAATCACTTGCAGAGTTAGTCATGGTAGTTAGAAAGTCTTATTATGAGGATGGCATTTTCAGTTGGAGTGATTATTCTCTTACAGCTGGTAACCTAGAAATGCTGGTTGAATCTGTAGGTGAAAATATAACATTGAATTGGGATAGTATAAATTTGAGTGGGATTAACCTGTCTTCAATAAGTGGTAAAACATTAGCTTGTGTGTTTAAGATTTCTCCACACCTGATCCATATTGACATGAGTAACTGCAGTTTATCAGGCAGGATTGTTAATGAAATGATGGAAGAATGTTGTAGGATTAATGTAGTATTGAAAGACAACATGCTTAGTCTAAAGGGTAATGACCTATCAGATATTGATGGCACATCACTTGCAGAGTTATTCAGGGTAATTTGTCAATTTGATTCGGATTATTATTATGATTATGAGAATGGCATTTTCAGTTGGAGTGATTATTTTCTTACAGCTGGTAACCTAGAAATGCTGGTTGAATCTGTAGGTGAAAATATAACATTGAATTGGGAAGTGATAAATTTGAGTAGGATTAACCTGTCTTCAATAAGTGGTAAAACATTAGCTCGTCTGTTTAAGATCTCTCCAGACCTGGACAATATTGACATGAGTTATTGCAGTTTATCAGGCAGGATTGTTAATGAAATGATGGAAGAATGTTGTAGGATTAATGTAGTATTGAAAGACAACATGCTTAGTCTAAAGGGTAATGACCTTTCAGATATTGATGGTACATCACTTGCAGAGTTAGTCAGGGTAATTTGTCAATTTGATTCGGATTATTATTATGATTATGAGAATGGCATTTTCAGTTGGAGTGATTATTTTCTTACAGCTGGTAACCTAGAAATGCTGGTTGAATCTGTAGGTGAAAATATAACATTGAATTGGGAAGTGATAAATTTGAGTAGGATTAACCTGTCTTCAGTAAGTGGTAAAACATTAGCTCGTCTGTTTAAGATCTCTCCAGACCTGGACAATATTGACATGAGTAACTGCAGTTTATCAGGCAGGATTGTTAATGAAATGATGGAAGAATGTTGTAGGATATATGTAGTATTGAAAGACAACATGCTTAGTCTAAAGGGTAATGACCTTTCAGATATTGATGGTAAATCACTTGCAGAGTTAGTCAGGGTAGTTAAAAAGTCTTGTGATGCTTTAACGTTAAGCAAATTTGGTCAGCCTATTGATAAGAATGTACATGTAATTGTCAGATGGAGTGATTATTCTCTTAAAGCTGATAACCTAGAAAAGCTAGTAGAATCAGTAGGTGAAAATATAACATTGAATTGGCAATTTATAGATTTGAGTAATATTAACCTATCTTCAATCAGTGGAAGAACATTAGCTTGCCTTGTTAAGATCTCTCCAGACATGATCCACATTGACATGAGTTACTGCAGTTTATCAGGCAGGATTGTTAATGAAATGTTTGTGGAATGTAGTGTTATGAATGCAGTGTTGGATGTCAACATGCTCAATCTGCAGGGCAACAACCTTTCAGATGTTGATGGTAAATTATTGGCAGAAATAATCATAGTATTGCATAAGCCTATTATCCCTTTTATTTGGAGTGGTTATTTTCTTACAGCTGATAACCTAGAAAAGCTGGTCGAATCAGTAGCTGAAGAAAATATAACACTGAATTGGCAAGTGATAGATTTGAGTAATATTAACCTATCTTCAATCAGTGGAAGAACATTAGCCTGCTTAGTTAAGATTTCTCCAGACCTGGTCCATATTAACATGAGTTACTGCAGTTTATCAGGCAGGATTGTTTATGAAATGATAGAAGAATGCTGTGAGATGAATGTAGTATTGGAAAAGAACATGCTTAATCTGGGGGGTAATGACATTTCAGATATTGTAAATCACTTGTAGCAAATTTGTTATGACTATAACTAATGAATTGTGTAAAACAAACATACACCACATGCTTATATCATACTGTATATATGTATCAATCAAATTAAGCAATCACATGCTGTTATGTTATATACAAATAGGATAACTATACGTTACAATGCAACTACAAAATAATATACAATATTAATTAATAATAATTAATAATAATAATAATAATAATAATTAATTATTAATATTTGTTGATTTACCATAGTATCCTTTAAAATTGAGGCAATTGACAAAGTATTGGTTCTGGACCCCTATTACCCCTTTATGTACAGTATGTTAATATATGCGTTGGTATGCGTGTGTGTGTATATTATACTGTATATATTTTTAGTTGTAAGTTGTGAAAAAATGGCGAACCTCAATTTTGTACATTTTTGGTTGGTCAGGCGTGGCCAACACAATTTTTTTTTTATTTGGCCTTAAAAAATGTAATTATGTGTTTCATTAAGTAACTTTGCACTATCAGATTTACTTTGCTAGTAAGTTATATTACATCGGTCGTTTATATCAAATGAATAATTACATACTTCTGATTAACTACTGTAGATTATGTTCTGGTTTTAGCAACTGTGCACCTCTGTGTTAAAGCCAGGCTTCAGAGTAATTATTGTTATTATTACCTTATATGACTTGAGAACTGCAGCTGTACACAATTTAGTTTTTTAATATTGATTTGAACAAGTTGTATAAGATTGTTTTGCTTGATTATTCAAATAAAAATTTTATAAAATTATTTGCATGTATGTATACATTGTTGTGTGTCTACCTGGACGTGCTTACCTCTCTCCATTGGGGGCACGGTTCAAACCGGTTCACTGAACCGAGTGGTGCCCCCCCCCCCTCTGTTCAGCGGACAGGCCTAGATCTCCATCGTTCGAGACCACAACAAAGTCGTCGGACCAAAAATATTAATTTGCCTATCTCCATAACATAATTTTGATTGCCAATCTCTGTATATATTGTGGTCTAAAAGCACAATTTTGGGCCGTACTAAGCTGGCCATGAAAACTTTCCCTTTAAACACTAACGGAATATTTCTGGGCCATGACTGAGGCTACAATTGCCCTGTTGGTTCTTACCTCATGTTGACCCCCCTGTCAAAAAAATCCTGGAGCAATAAAATGTGAACATTGTGGGACCTGGAGTAACAGTTGATGAACACATAAAACCCACCCACACATGGAAACAGGGCTGATAAACAGAATTGATGATGATGGATAATTGGAGGACTGGATGGATGGATGAATGATGATGGAGGGGATGCAATAGATGGAAGAATGATGGAGGATGATGGGATGGATGAGGATAGATGATGATGATTATGGTGGATATAAAATGATGGATGGATAATGGATGGAAAATGAAGTATATATGAATAATATGCAGGAGTAATGTTGGACGGAAGAATTTAATTCAATTCAATACAAATTTCTTTATTGCAATCACATAAAAATACAAATTGAATTTTCAAAAAAATACTATAAGATTTGGTCATATCAAAAATACATAAAAATTCAAAATTTAAAAAGAGCGGACAGATCGAAAACAAGCAGACATGATTACTTTTGATTTATTTTAAATTTATTTCCCTATTTCTGGTTTCATGCATTAATTTATTATTTATTTTTTAAATGTTTTTGAATCATCTACTACAAACTTGGTTAATCGATATTTGAGGAGAGCATTCTTTAAGGCATTTGTATTTTTCTTTAGCCTACTCTCTCTCTTCATTTTCATTAAACTTTGTTTTAAAACTGCTTATTTAATAATATGTTTATATTACAATTTATCCTATTTAACTTTCTCAATTTTTTATGTTGATTTGATTTTGAAATAAAACATTGAAATGAAATGAAAGACACCAGCAACAATAAAAGAAAAGAAAAAAAAAACTGAAACTTCGAAGGAACCCTTGATCAAGATCATAGAGTCAATTACCATTCTTTATAAATACCATAATCTATTATAATTTTTTTGTATCTGTTTGTAATGACTGATAGGGTGTTGAATTCTTTGTCGATGTCGGAGGTTGTAATTGTTGTTAGGGGGAAGGGGTAGAAGGAAATTCAGTCGGTCTCTGTCCTTGAGTTTTCAGTCGGTCTCTCCTTGAGTTTTCAGTCGGTCTCTGTCATTGAGTTTTCAGTCAGTCTCTGTCCTTGAGTTTGAGAAAGTACCATTTGCATAATTCAACTACATGCTCTTGACTGCACATTTCAATTTGTTTCTATTAAGATTTTGTTATTTTGAGTCAGACCAGTGTACCATGGAGCAGAAAAAAAAATAGCGGAGGTCGTAAGTTTGTAAGCCTGATCTACGCAAGCCTAAGTAAATAAGTCCACACAGGGGCAATATTGGTCATATCAACATTATCAAAAAAAGCAGAGGTATATCATTACATTAGCCATAGCTCAAAAAACTAAACCTAGCATTGGTAAAGCAACCCAAAAGCAAATTATAGCATCGTTATATGCTATAGTAGATTGTCTGATAATCATGCTACATATTGATACCGATATTGGTCTGATGTAGCTGGTTGTAGAAGTTTCTAATCCTAAATTATCTTATTCATTGATATTTAAAAATAAATATAAAAAATAAATATTTAAAAGCATTTTAACTGATACTTGCTATGCAATATTTTTATGTAACTGCTATAAAACTGATACATGTTCATGTATCATTTAACTGCTACAATGAATGATATTTGCAGTTGTATAGCTGCTATTTTTCAACTGATACATCTGATGTATTTCTACAGCAGGTTATAATAGCTCCCCCTCTCTCTGCTATATATCTGATACATAATGCGTACTCTCTCAAAATATCTGATTTTTACATTCCTATAGTAGTAATTGTATGTGTAGGAACAAGCTATGCCGTGAAGCTATATCAGCTATGTTTGATAGTAAAAAAAACAAATTAATATGTGTGTCCTTCAGTTGAAATGACACTGGCACAGCATCAAGGTTGCTACTGTATTACACTTAAGTACATATCTCATAAACTGCTATATATATATATATATATATATATATATACTCTCTATGAGGTGAGTGATTTATTAAATTGTGCAATCAGCAATGGATTCTTATCCATTAAAAGCTCTGTCTATCAAATTTTATGTGGCAATTGTGATGTGTCCATATATGGGCATGATGATGTCATATACATCCAAATATGGGCATGTGACATTTACTTGTCACCAAATTTGATAGTGTGGACACAGCTTAAGATTTGAACTCCTTTGATCAGCATCGCTTTCTCTGGAGTACACAGTTCAAAACTCAATATTATTGTGATGACAGAAAATTAATTAATTTTATTCTATTCTTTTTTGCAATAAAAAAAAATACAAAAATATATTACAGAAGAAGTAAAACAAAATACAGAGCAAATTGCATGAAAAACATAACAAGGAAAACCCGAAATCCATGCCAAGCAATAGCCAAAGCGGCAGGGCCACTGTCCTCCATACGCAAAAAGCATATGGACAATGAAAAAGAAATATTGTTAAAAAATAATTACAACAAAAAGAAACCAAAATCTACACAAAAACATTATTAACATTGTATGTGATTATAATAAATTATCATTAGAGTAATTAAATTTATATTATCATAATTCATATATTAAATGACATTTAGGGATTTCAAATTAAAATAATAATTTATAATTTTACTGTAAACAAAGAAGATATGAGAAAAATGACAAAAAGTTCCAAAGGTCTGCAAGAAGACTATTCGTTGAAGTGTTATGCTGAAGGTGTAAGTATTTGAACGTTAGTTATTAGTAATCAATTTTTGAAAATAAAATAACAAAATTTGACATTGTAAAATAATATTATCTGCAAGTGTAGAATTTGTCAATAATTTATTTATTTTTATTTTATTCAATTTCCAGGCAACAATAAAACAAAAATATAACAATGAGAAAACAATATCCTGTGGAATCACTATCAGAACGGCTTCCCATATTGCATGCTTACGTACCGTATACAGTACTAAACGTTGAAGCTATAAAGTTGGATATATAAATGATATGCTAAAATTTTATGACAAAATGCAGTAAGAAAAAATGCAATAAAATATTGTAAAATCGTTAAAAAAATAAAATAACATTATACATCAAACTTCTGAATTAACTAAACAGTATTTAGTTAAGTTCATTAACTTATTTGATGATGACTTTCACATAACCTCTCCACTTCACCTGATGTCGAGCCACTTGATTTTGTGAGCCATGTGCGTGAAACCCTGAAATATGTGATTCATACACCCTCAACCTGGACCTGATTTATTCCCAGGGGGTCAACCAAGACGCTATAGAAAAGACGGACATGGAATATGGGTGAGGATAGAATAATATGAGGCTTATCAGCATACTGTCACTAATTGTTTAATTGAGTTAAATTAGCATAAGAATGTGGCAATATTGTAAACTTTAGTACAAAGAAGTCATTAGATTTCTGCTCATGACTTTGGCAATAGTAAGTTGATTTCTGTAAATAACCAATCATTTTAAAGTTTGTAATGTAGAGAATAGGAGCTCAAATTTTACTTTATTTTTTTTTTTTTTTTGTCACTGATGCTTATTTTTGGATGCCAAGCCTCATATACGAATGGCACCATCTACAGGAGTTTACCTTTCCACTATGTAGAGTCATTTTCATGAGATCCGTGACTAATTTTAGGATACCTTTGTTTCTCGATGGATTTGGCAAGATGGACCAATTTAGATAAAATATAGCTCCTATATACCTCCCAGATATTGGGGGAAAGTC